AATTAGAGTTTTATATACCGAACAATCGTGCCCAAGGGAATTTTTGTACACTAATTAGGAGGCACATAAAGGGGCAAACTAGATTTTCTTAATTAACAGGAAGGAAGTTTTTTAAGCTATATATTCGTGGAAGCAAGGTGTGAGTCGTGGTGGGGTTGTTAAATGCTAAGGGTAAAGAAGTTTGTTGACTCGGAGATCAGGGGTTCGGTCCACGACACGGATTAATTTAAAAATTTTTTTTCTATTTACTTTATTTCATTTTTTAAACTTTTTTTTTCGATATTTCAACGTGAATAAAGTGTTATATAATAAACTCCTAACTCTTCTGTTATAGTGATTTATGATGACAGCTATGCCACCCCTCAATCAGTACCCTGTCAAAATAATTAGGAAGGTCGTAGGGGAAGGAAAAAAAATACCATCCAAAAACTCGGGCCCGCCTCTATATAGACAGACAGGCAACCCGAGTTATTTCGAGCTTGCCACTTTACGTGTAGAAATCCCTCCCGCTTTATTTCGGGTCCGCCGCCAGGAGGATTAATAGATATTCTCATCATTTAACTTGGGACACTTTAGCAAAAAGTGTCATTTGGCAAAATAATTAGGAAGGTAGCTACTTTATTTACGCTGCTGTAGTGCTGCACAATTCGTGACGTTTTTTTAGAAGCATTTCTGAGGATGATACGATGACAGTTTCGTTCCCTTACATAGGGGATGGCCCCCACGCATCTGTAGCCCGACAACTCTCGCGTGAAGTTGAGCATTTTTTAGTTGAGCAGTTTAACGAGGACCGATATCGGGCCCAAGGTCCCTTTGTAGGCTGAGCAAAATTGTCATCCGTCCACCTACTGACCGCTGCCAGTGAAGCTTGTGTTTGGTGAGTTACCGAGATTTGTGTCTTATGATCAGTCCACTGTGGGATATCGTAACTTTGGTAATTGGTGATAGAAATAGGCTACAGGTAGGGTACAGCATTTAGGTAGGTAGGGTACAGCAGGGAATTCTCTACCTATAGGACAATACTTTACATGCCTTTATCATAAGCGTGTAGAGAGTCATAAAAGGAAGAAGTACACAAGTTTCTATCTGAATTTTTAAATAGATTAAAAATTTTATGTTAGGAAACTATGTGGAACTGAAAACTACCTTGAACATAGTTATGAAAGAAAGTGTCATGGAAATTTGAAAAAATATTTTTGCTAAATAAATACGAGAAATATTTAGAAAGGGGGAAATATCGTAGTATTTTCCTGAACAATCTAGAACAAGAGGAGAGGGAAGGGAGGAGGGTCAAAGCATGGAATCGACCTTTTCCCTACATGATGTGTTCGTCTTTTGTAATCGCGAATGCTTTCAAAAGGTGCTTATAAACTAAATTTGACATACATCCGTAATAATTATCAAAAGATATGTTTCGGCATCGTCTCAACTATGTTTTGTTAAATAAGACAACTTTTTAAGAGGTGAGACTAAAATTCTAGCATCATAAAGTTTACGTAATAACATGGCAAAATGGTTACTTAATAACGCGTAGATCTACCATCATGATTAAGCGCTTTAATGCATTTTCTAGCCAATCAGTTGCAAGCTCCTACTGTTCCGCAGTGGGCTGATTGTTAAGACACGGTTCCCAGCAGATCACCGAAGTCAAGCATCACTGGCTGCGGTCAGTGTGCGAGTAGGTGACCACTTGGATCAGTCTGCGNCGTTATGGGTCCTCGTTAAACTGTTCTACCGTTAAGTGCTCGACTTCGCGTGCAAGTCGTCGGGTTACCGAAACGAGGGTACCATCCCCTCTGCAGAGGAGCAAAATTGCGATGGCATGTCTTCAGATCATCCTGAGGGATGCTTCCCAAACAGTCGCCAAAAGCCTATTGTGAAGCTCTAGTGCGACGTAAATGAACTGCAACAGCAACAACAAGCTCATACACGTCATTTTCCAGCATCCAATTAACAACTAACTCACCAAATTTTGCTCTACAGAAGCTATAAGCCAAATCGTAAGTTTGATACAAAAGCAAATACATCTTTGTTATTAGCAAGTGGGTGTTGATATTTTTGGGCCTGTAAACGTTGAGTTATGAATTTTCTTTTCGAAATATCTTTTAACTTTAATTGTATAATGTGTATTAGTTCATTACTTGATATCATTATATGTTAAAACCATCAAGTGTTGTTTTTGCTTACTGCGTTTGGTAATTATTACAATATTGGTATTTACTACTATCTGGAATGCATTTGAAAAAAAAAAAAGAGATTTCTCTGACTATCATCACAATACATTTAATAACTAGTTTGAAAATTGTTTATGAGAGAAAAGGGTGTATAAAAATAAATGTAAATTTTTTTGGATGAAGGATTCTCCCTATTTTTTTTTAAAGGATTATCCCATTTGTGCAAATTTTTTGTGCTATCCATTTTTTTTCCTTTATATAATTTTTCTATGTTGATACCTGTCCTCATCATGCCTCATTTATATGAATCGTAGAAGCCTTTTGTATTTCCTTAGGCAAGCTTTGATTTATGTTCCTCTTTAAAGCACTACCTTTAAGTCTATTAAAAATAGCTTTGCAAAGCAAATTTATATCCATTACAATCTCTCTTTCTTATTTTAGAATATATATATATACTTTACACAAATTATAATGGCTTTGTGTTTTTTTTTCTTAATGACTAGGTAATTTAAAAAGTTATTTGTCTCTTTTATGAAAATAAATGTGTGTTATATGTTAATTACAATTTTGTGATGAGTTCTTAAATTAAATCAAGGTGCATAGCGTTTTTAAAAAGTGCTTAAAGGTGCTTATTTTTGATTTTCGTTTTTTTAAAGCCCTCAAAGGTGCTTTTTTCTTGGGGTGGTTTTAAAAAGTACTTAATTTTCCCTTTTTGAAAATTATATGTTTTTTCTTTACCATGTTGATTTTTGCTGTGTATTATGCAAAAGTGTGGTTTTCACATTGTTTTATTCAACGTTTCCACAGTTCATTCAACCGAAATTCATTCGGCATACCGTTGGTCCGTAACATATGATAGCTTCAATCATTTTACATATTTGATGAAATACTTGGAAGTCCACATGTGCGTCTACTGAGCTGGATTCGGTGAGCTTCTTGCACTCTCATGTGCAACTCTGCTGCATTTTGCAAGATATTCTCAAATTCAGGCCCTCTGAAATCGAACCGAAAAATCTATCTATATGTTGGCTAATATGATCAAGAATATTGAAATAAATCAAGAATTGGTGGCTAATATGATCAAGAAAAGAGTTCTTTGTCAGAAACTCATTATTTTATCATGATCATGTAAAGTCTTTTAAAATTATTTTGCATTTTGTTGATGTATATAGTGCTTAAAAATATTTTTTAGAGCTTAAAAAGTACTTTAAAGGTGCTTATTTTTTGTTGAGGGATTTGGCTACACACCTGTGAACCAAAAAAAAAGACACTTTAATACAAAATGCTTTTAATTTAAACATAATTTGCAATGTATATTATATTATAAAGTTGTGAAAATGTTTTACTTAGAATTGTTAATTCTTTATGGGCGATGTGATCAGTAAGCCATCTGTTATAAACTTTTTTTAAAGTCATTTCTTAAACATTTTAATTTTAATCATGCTGCATTTTAAGTAGCAGTTTAGATGAAAAATAACTTTTTTTCTCTCTAATTTTATGAGGGAAATTTTACATTTTGTAATTGAATAAAGGAATTTGCCCCAAAATAGTTTTAAAAAAAGTTTTCTAGCTAGGCAAACACGTGAATTAAGAAAAAAAAACTCCTTTTTTTTTTGTTCATGCTACTGTGATGAGATTGAAAAAACTAAACTTTGTGCATATCAAAATTTCAGATTTTCTTTACATTTTGTTTTTTCTTTTTCTTTAAACTGAATGAACAATATTTTTTCTACCTATCCCAGAGACTCTTGTATAATATATTATTTATATATTTTAATGGCTTATAATATATAAATAAGTTATTATATAAGAGCATCTTAGAATAACTTATTTATGTGTTTTAAAACATTTTCTTGATTTTTTAAAATTATTTTTTTCCCTGCTTATTTTTTACTTATTCTATGAGAGTTCTATAGAGATAAATTTCTCTAATTATTAAATCTCTGATTTTATTTATTCTAATTTATTGCCTTATTTTTTACAATAAAATCTTTGTTTAAAGATTCTTTATGAAGAATTTAGATAACTGTATGTGCAGTAAAAGAGCCATTTTTTTTTTAGCCAAATTAATTCTAATTTTTTTCCCTCTTGGTTTTCTAACATGAAATATTCTTTTTCACCTTACTAAAAGCTTTATTGCAATTCGGTTATTATTAAATTTGACATATTGAAGTTTTGTTACAACTTATTGAATTTTTTGATATCTTTCTCTCATTTCTTGATACCCTTTCGCAAAATAATTTTAACATTCGTTTTGTATGTTAAAATTGCTAATTTTATTTTCATTTTACCATTTTTATTTTATATAATTTTATTCATTATAATTAATAAGTGCAATAATTTTTGTCTTACTCGCAGAAAGCTGCCAGGCATTGAGAGTTTTTCAGAAATTTTTTATTTTCTAATTCTGTTTGTGACACTCTTTGGTTTTATGTAATTTTTTTTTTTTTTTGAATTTTTCCAAATAATGAATATGCTGCTTAAATATTCTATTACAAATTTTTCAAATCGCAGAAAAACTTGTTAAATAAAATTTTATATATATTAATTGATAGAGATTGAAATCAGATGTTGGCCATTTGGATTTTAAAAATAAATTGCGAATCATTCACTAACTAGTTCATTGTCACATTCACTAATTAATTGAATTGAATTGTCAAATTCACTAATTAATCATTCACTAATCAGTTGAAATTTTTATGATTTCTTAATAAAGTAAATACCTTATTGTTTTTTTTCAGATATATTGCATAGTAGTTTACAATTATGACATCAAAATTGAGCAAGTCATCTGATCTCTATGAACCATCTCATCGTAGGAGTAAAAAATTTATGAACATTACCGTTTTTTTCTTAGATGATTCAAGTCATGTCTTTCAACTGCAGGTAATGATTATTTTTTTTTTTTTAATTCTCAAATCCTGATATAAATTTTTTGAAAGTCAATAAAATGTTTTATTTTTCTTAAATTACTTTATATTATTTTTTAGCCATCTTCTAAAAGAAAAAAAAAACTAGATTATTTTCTACCATTAAACTATATGCTTATAAACTATAAGTTTGTCAAGCCTTAATTTCAAAATAATTATCCTAGCTCATTGAACAAGCTCCCACATTCAATTAAGCCTTACGAGTTTTTGAGTTAGTTGGTAGACTTTTAATGACATTATATCACCGGATTATTTAAAATAGTAGTTTTTAACTGCCATATTAATTTTGAGCATTCAAAATCTCGTATATCATCATCTTAATCTAAATTTCATTAAGTTCCAAAAGAGTGCATACTTGAGAGAAAAATTATGGAAGCCTTTTGCAGTTAGTCCGGCGGTGGGGGGATTTTATTTTAATTTATAACCATTGATAGTCAGCCGACCCAATTTCTTGGGTTTACGATTACTAAGGTTCAACTCCGTAGTCTTGTAATTTTAAACCCAATCCAGAAGACAAGGGAACTCATGGATCAAGTATTGGGGGAAATTAGCCTTTGTGGAGGACTTTTTGATGGAACTAACCTGCTTTTGCGTTACATGGAAAGGAAGACCACAAGAACCTCTCACGATTAGTCTGACTGCGAAGGGACTCTAACACATGATACGCCTACCTCTGATGATATTTCACGCAAGCACTGTGGTTGGTGCCAGTTGTGAAATTTGTATTGACTAGCCATCACTGGAGTTTGAACCCTGTTCACCTTATTGTGAAGCAAACGCTCTATTCCCTGGGCCATTTTGGCTCGCAGCAGGGGGATTCTAATCTATGCTCTATGTTTATCTCTGAGGATATTTATGTCAGCAATGTGGTTCGTATGAAGCAGTTTTCCTATCAACCAGCCATTGCTGGAATTCAAGGCTAAAAGATCTTGCTGGAGAGTGAGTGCTCTATCCTTAATCATTGCAACTGGCTCTATTATGTCATCTTGGGATATCTTTGGATATTTATTAAATATTAAAGTGAGTTTCTTGGTCATCTCTGTGACTCTGAACAAGATACTGAGCAGTATCTCATTGTTTTAGATGAAACTATTTTTTGTTTTTAAATGCAACAACGAATATTACTAAATTCAAGTGCATGTTTTTCATTCAGTTTATTTTCTAAATTCATGTGTTTATACTGAACTAAATTCAGTGGTGCGACACCCCATAGAGGGTCAAGGCCTACTGTCCCCATCTCAGTTTTCTTGACCTTGGGGCTCTGGGGTGCAGGAGCAAATGTTCCGGTTAGGTGGTCAGCGGAACACGAAACCCCCAGTGTTTAGTTCCCAAGCATGCTTGGTACTCATTTATCGACCCACTGAAGGCATGAAAGGCTGAGTCAACCTTGCCCGGCCTGAGGATCAAACCTAGGACCATTATACAGTGTAAGAAAAAAGATGAATAATTATTTATCACAATCAATCATGAAACACAATTTAAATTTAAGAGGCTGAGACATTATTTAAAAATTTAAAATAGGTTTAATTTTTCTTTAGTTATTATTTGTTAGCCTTTCCTGGGGATTTTACATCATTAGACTAAACAAAACATATTTTTAGAAGTTCAAATCATCAAAAAAAAAAAAAAATGAANTAAGAAAATAATGTTATTGATCATGGCCTATACATTATAGTCAAGATTTACTGCTTTCACTTTATATAACTTATTATTTTTTATTTTATTTCAATTACTGTTGATTTTAAAATTTTAAAAACATAACTTTTAAGGAAACAAACATGTGTTTTCAGACGGTTTTCAAAATACCTATATAGTGTAGGTTATTCCGTGTATGCTATCCATTGATATAGATTTTACTGTGTTTACCTGACATATAATCAAGAATAAGAAAGTATTAATCAATTTCCTATAAGCTTCTAGTAAAGCCCATTTTTGATTTAATAGATTTGTAATCTTACAAACAGGACTGATATTATCTCTCAAATAATTCAAAAGAAAAGGTGTTTGTAGTTTAAATTACATTAATATGTACAGATGGATGACAAAATAATACGAACACCTGTGAAAAAGTGTGACTTATTTCACACCTGAAGTACAGCCGCGCCACCTGTAACAGAAGTCTGCCACCTAGTGAGCGTGAAGAGGAAGCTATCAGTCTCTCAACATTAGTCACCTGTGTTGCATGAGTTTATCTAACTAGATTTTATAAGGTGAAATGTATGACCAGTCAGAATTCCAAAGAGGGATGATTGTTGGGGCGCGTTTAAATGGAGCATCGGTGACAGAAACAGCAAACCTTTTGGGGTTTGCAAGAAGTACTGTATCAGCCGTTATGACAGCATACATGAAAGAAGGTAAGACGAAGTCTTCAAAGCAAAACAGTGGCCGAAAGTCAAAGCTTGATGATAGGGATAGACGTGTCTTGCAGCGCGTAGTAGCTCGAAAACACAAGCAATCGTTATCCGAGATAACATCAGACATGAACAGTCATCTTCAGGACCCCGTTTCAACAAGAACTGTTCAAAGAGAACTTCATGCAGCGAACATTTATGGGAGAGTGGCAATTTGTAAACCCTTGGTGACAACAACCAATGCTTTCAAGCGCCGTCAGTGGTGTAGATGTCACAAGGGCTGGTCCCCACAGCAGTGGCAGCAGGTAATATGGTCCGATGAATCATCCTTCACCTTATTTCAGATCACCGGACGCGTTTATGTCTGGAGATCACCCAAAGAAGCGTTTGATCCTGAATGCCTCTTACCAACTGTGAGACATGGAGGTGGCTCCATTATGGTTTGGGGTGCGATATCTTGGCGTGGTCTTCGGCCACTAGTACGTCTGCATGGGAGAATCAAATCTAATGACTATCTAAGCGTTCTAGCGGATCATGTTCATCCTTTTGTACAGACTGTATTCCCTGGAGAGCGACCGATTTTTCAAGACGACAACGCCCCTATCCACACCGCTAGGTGCGTTCAAACATGGTTCGAAGAGCATGACAATGAAGTTGAGCATCTCGCATGGCCCCCTCAGTCTCCGGACTTAAATATTATTGAACATTTCTGGCAATATTTGGAGTCTAAACTTCGTTCCTGATTCCCACCTCCATCAAATCTTTTGGAATTAGAGGCCGCTTTGCAAGAGGAATGGCTTAATATTCCTTTAAATGTGTTCCATGACCTTTATGCATCGATCCCACGTCGTATTAAATCTGTAATTCAGTCAAACGGTGGTCCAACTCCCTATTAATAAAGATTTTCTGATATTTCACAGGTGTTCGTATTATTTTGTCACCCATCTGTAGGTAATGAATTGTATGAGAAAATTTTGTTTTTCACTTGTCCAGCCCGAATGGACATATTAAAAAATTTCAAATGAGGTTTAAGTTTTGGAGCTAAATTTTACTTCTACACTTGCTGTTGAAGCTTCATAATCATAGCACAAACATTTGAAATTATAGGACGGACCTTCAAAATGTGTGTCAAAATATTGCATAATTTGAAAGATGCATTATTAAAATGTAATCTAGTGAGAGTAGATTAATGGTTATACTGAGTTTTGACCTGTGAAGCAGAAACCTGCCAGCTCTGTAACTGACACAGCAGATTATCGCAGCATCTGCAGATTAATCTCGCAATTTAAAAAGACAATCCTCACAACACTAAATCACAAATTTAGTTTAAAAACGTGTTTGTAAACAATTTTTAATTTTGTAAGCTTTGTTACATAAATGCTTGGAATTATGCTGAACATTTTCAATTACAATCTCCATCTGACTTTGTTGGGGATCACTGACTTTGAAATTGTTATATAGCGGTATAGTTTGACTCTGTAAATTCTGCTCCAAGATCTTGACGTGTCAAAAATTTAAACTCTCCGAAATTTAATTTTTGGACATGTCAAGACTGATCTCTAATCACAAAAGATCACAAATTTAGATTAGACATTGTGTTTGTACACAATTTTTAAATATTTTAAATTTGTAAACTTTGTTACATAAATACTTTGAATTATACTGAATGTTTTCAATAACAATGACTTTGTTTCAGGTCGCAGACTTTAAATTCGTTTAAATAGCGGTGCAGTTTGACTCAGTAAATTCTGCACCAAGATCTTAATATGTCAAAAATTTAAACTTTTTGAAGTTTAATTTTTTTACATGTTCATGCCAATCACTAATCACAAAAAATCACTTTGTTTTCAAAAAAATTGTTTGTTCACAATTTTTAAATTAGTAAACTTTGTTACATAAATGCTTTAAATTATGCTGAATGTTCTTAATAACAATCTCTGTCTTTGTTGGTGATTGCAGGCTTTAAATTCGTTAAGATAGCCATGCAGTTTGACTCAATAAATTCTGCTCCATGATCTTGACATGCGAAAAATTTAAACTTTCTGAAGTTTAGTTTTTTGATATATCAAGACCAATCACTAATCACAAAAAATCCCAAATTTAGTTTAAACAACGTACTTGTATACAAATTTTAAGTATTTTAAATTTGTAAACTTTGTTTTATAAATACTATGAATTATACTGAATGTTATCGATAACAATGACTTTGTTGTGGGTCGCAGACTCTAAATCCGTTAAGATGGCGGTGCAGTATGACTCAGTAAATTCTGCATCATGATCTTAGCATGTCAAAAATCTAAACTTTTTGAAGTTTAATTTTTTTACATGTCAAGACCCTTTTGCGGAGTTGATTTAGTCTTTAATTACTTAGAGATTTTTCTGTGTTCATAAATGCAAATGAAAAGACTGAGTGTATTCTATTTTATTGTGATATTTGTTTCAATTACTAAATAAGATTACTTAATTACTAAATGAGATTATTTCAATTACTTAATTACTAAATGAGAATGTGTGTTATATATAATTATATTTTCTCTCTACAGGCCAAAACACTTGGTCAGTTGCTCTTTGAAAAGGTTTGTAAGCACATTAACTTACTGGAAGTAGATTACTTTGGTTTGGAATGTGAGGATGAAAAAGGGAAAAAGGTATTAAATTAACAATTTTAAATTTTAATTTCTAAATTGTTTATTGTTAAATATTTTAAGGCTTGTTTGTACAGGTTTGAAATGCTTGATATAAGTGGGAACTAAGTGCTAATATCTAATTGACGTTGCTCGTGCTGTGGTCAGTATACAGACACTAAGCTTTAGCTTCATATGCCGTTCAAATCTATTTAGCTTTGTTTTCCATGTGCAGTTTAACTTGATGTTAAGATCAGGGTATCTGTGCACCTGAAAAGTCATGGATTTTGGTATTAAACAACATTTGTTATGAAATGTCATGAGTTTAACTATTTTTTAAAAAAAATCTTGGAAAGTCATGGATTTAGGTCACTGAAAAATCTAATTTTTAAAATGGAATTTCACCCCTCTCCCAATTTCACAATGTTCCAAATATCTAAATTTGTAGTGAAATACCCACTTATAGTCATATTCTATTAAAATATAAAATGTTTTTATGTTATTTAAAAATTATGGTGTTCTTTCAAAAAAATGCAAGAAAGAACATCATTTCTGGTGTGAATTATCTTTTAAACTTCTGTGATTTCAGAAATTTTTTATTTATTTATTATTTGTTTTTTTATTTTATCAATTTAAAATTCTAGTTTTCACTTTTTATCAAATCTGGTGATAAGTTCAAACTCTCAATTACTCAGAGACAAGCTTGCAATGAGGCAATCCAAAAAATTAAAATCTTGTTCAGCTGCCAGTCCTCTTCATCACACATACAAGTTCAACAACTAGAAAAACTAAATCATCATATTTCTATACTCTCAGATAAAGTTGATCCAACACATATTAAGAACTTAGAGCGACAAATTATTAGGATATCAGATCAGCTCAACGAACTTAAAACAATCTTGACATACTCCAACTTACAGGAAAATCGCCAAGAGACAGCTTCCTCCCACACCTATTATCATCACTGCTGAAGACGAGAAATCTGGTGATGACATCATCAAAATCATAAATGATTCTACAACGCTACCAATTGTGAAGAAGGTTTACAAGACAAAGAATTTCGTCGAAATAAAGTTTCACAATCATGAGGAAAAGACTAGATTAACAAATAGCATCAAAAATAAGCTCGAATTCCACGACAAAGAACAACGCCTTACCTCACTTATAATTCTGAATGCACCAGCTCTCTTTGATGGCAACAGTATATCCAACATCCTCCAGCATTTCAGTGAATCATCATTTGACAATAATACCATCACCTACACAAAGTCAATACCTCACAAAAAACATGTTGACAAAAAACATCTCATTGTCAATGTATCGCATAAACTTGCTCAACAACTCCTGAGGACAAAACGCATCTATATAGGCCTTAACAGATGCATTATCAAAAAAAGAATTCTACTTCGACGCTGCTCATGGTGTCAAGGTCTTGATCATTCCACCCACTCTTGCACTCAAGAATTCGCCACTTGCTCTAACTGCGGAGGCGACCATCACACAAATGAATGTCACTCCGACGAAAAATATTGCATCAACTGCTGGCACACCAATACCTTTTTTGGAACCAGCCATAATCCTTATCATCAAGCCTCAGACATCACTTGCCCTGCGCATCACCAGGCCCTCCTTGAATTACGATCACGTTCTAATGAGTATTAACTGTTACCACCTTCTAGCTATATCTTCTCAATCTATTCACATATGTTTGTTGAATATACCTATCGCTACAGAAACTCTATAAACATTTTTCCTCATTGCAGACTTTTTGTAGATGACTCTTATTTTAATTTTTATTTTTCTTATTTCATATTTCCTTTCAAAATTCTTGCTATACAGCCTCCTTGAGAGCCTTACACTTTCGACAGCTGTCAAAATAATCTTCTTATGTTTTCCAGTTACTTATCTACCATGTAATTTCACTATTATTAAGTTAAAATTAATTTCTATGCTTTTTGTTGAAGGCATTTCACTATGCCTTTGTATTTTATAGTGTAAATATTTTCAAAATTTAATTTATTCTTTATATGTCATTTATACTAGTTGCTAATGTAATTTTTTGTGTTTTATGTGTTTTATGTATGTTTTGTCAGTAGAATGTTTGTTCTACTCTCGTGTGCCCTGAATAGGGCGGGTCGAGGTATAAATAAACAATTACACTTACTTTTAAGAATAAATGAAGCAGATTTAAATAACTACATATATCTAACTTTATTTAGTTATTGGCTTTTGTATTTTTTTCCAGCAATTTTATTGCTTTAACTCTTTCTTTACTTTGTTTTTAAGTTTAAAATCAATAAATTTGAAGATGCAGAGTATAATAGTTTTGTTATACCTATCATTTCAATTAATGTCATTATAATGCTTTTTGAAATTTATTGTTGTGTTTTTGTGGAGAAAATAGTAACTTTGGTCAGTCATGAAAAATTTGTGGAATTAGTTATGAAAAGTCATGGATTTGAAACTCTAAAATGTGGCAGATACTCTGTAAGATAAACGATTCTCAAATATGCTGTAGTGTTAAATTTAATAAGAGAAAAAGTTGTTTTTTAGTTAAAATCAACTTGTAAATTTGTTCATTGAAACCTGTGTGTCCTCTTTAAATTAAATATGCAAATATTTAGCATTTAATTTCAGTGATAGAATTTGTAATTCATCATTGAGCACCTTCATATAGATGCCCTTTCAATGATATGTCTGCTGTGATTTTGCATATAAAGACTGAATTAATTCCTCTTCTTCATTTAATTTGTATTTTCTTAAAACTGTATCTAAAACTATAAAAAAAATCTGATTTAACAATGTATTGTATATTTATTTGATGTTTATATTGCTAAAACTTTCAATGCCCTGAAATTAGAATAACATGTGAAAATAAATACTAAATTCATTGTAAATAAGTAATATTATACAATATTTTGCACAATATTATTTACACAATATTATCTTGCAATTATAATACTCCTTTTCCCAGTCTAGACCGAATCAAAATTCGTAATAAAATTAAACAAATTTTCTCTTAATATCAAATGCAAAAGTTAGCATAATTAAATATATATTTATTTATTATTTACTTTCTGGAAATGACAGATATAACAAATGTCATAAATAAATATCTATGAATTGTAGTTTTTCTTTATAAAAATTAGTGCATCAGCTTTTAATTCATATTTTATGTATAAAAATAAAAAAGTTTTTTTTTTTAAATTGATGATTATTAATTTTTATTTTGTTCTCCATTCTGTTCTACTGTTCTAGCACGTCATTCTCAGTTTTTTCTTTCATAACATACATTACATTGTATGTATACATTGAGAGTGTCTGAGTGTAAAAATGTGCTCATCCTGATGTTCCTCAATTACAGCTGGTTTATTCCGTGCCTTTTTTTTTGTCAAAATTTTGGTAAAATAAATCAAGCAGTTAAGAGGTTAAATTATCCATTGTACTAGCAAAATTTATCTTTGAAAACTGTTTGTTTTATATTGCTCTTTACAAGATATATTTAAATTAAAAAATTCCAAGATTTAGTAATAAAATATATAATTTAAATAAATATTCAAAATTAAATGCTATAAATTTAATTAAAATAGAAAGTGGGACAGTAATGAATTGAACTTATAGGTAATAATTTTTAAGCAAAACTACTTCTTGTTTAGTCGATACATTAATCCTCTTGCAGCCCTCTGTATTTTAAACTACCTCTTGTTTTATCAATGCATTATAAAAAGTAAGTTTATATTTTTAACTTGCATTTTAAAAGCTTTAGCCCAGATAAACTTTAGCAGATACAAAGAGTTCATAGACCCTTCATATTGAATTATTTTGCGATAGAAATTATTGCTGAAGAATTTAGTCTCATTTGTGTCTTTGTAGACCTTAAACCGAAGACCTTTTTTATAGCTTTTAATTTGCTAAAAGAACATTTACCACTTGTTACAGATAGTAGTATTGTTAACGAAATTCTTAAACTTATCTACAAGTTAAGAAAAAAAATCTTTTAAGTTGTTCTTATAAATGAACATTAGGATATCAAATGGAAATATTTTTTCTTATTATTTGTTCCTTATAATTTACATGTTTAAATAGTATTTTAAAGGTCATTTCCATTCAATGTAATTCCATTCATTTCCATTCAATTTTTGTAAGAAATTGTTATAAAAAATTAAAATTTGTTGTTAGCTGCTGTAACACTATTTATGTGTGTATAAACATTTTCATGTCCTTTAAACTCATTTTCTGATTCGGGCATTTACTAAAATGACTTTCAATGACTATGTGAATTTTTTAATGACAGGAAACATTTAATAACAGGAAAATTTGATGTCAATTTTTACAACTTCTGAAATGAATCTGAACTAATTAATACAACTCTGTGTAAAGTGTTGTTTTAATTAGTTCAGATTATGAGAAATATTATCAACAGCCCTGGATCAACTTATTGCAACTAATTTCGAATTCTGCTTATTAAGATAAGTATAAAATTATCGTCTGGAATGGAACTCAAAAAATAATTTTTTTTTAAAATTGTTTTTTTATTTCTTTGCAATTCTTGAACATTAAATCTAAGAACTATGTAGGACACATTATAGTTAGATAATCGTCTAGTGTCATTTACAATAATTCATTTGATTCACAGGCACTGATCTATTTTTCAGTTGCTTAAATAAAGAAAAATTATAGTAGTTAAAACCTTCAAAAGCGATTTTTGCCATTAAAGTTCTTGTAAAATGTTTTACTGTTTGTTTTCTACTTTCAATATTTCAATTAATCTTTTCTATTCATTTATTGAATTTCAGTACTGGTTGGATGTCCTCAAACCATTATGTTCACAGCTGCATTCATTTTTTCCAAGTATGTATTTTTGTGTTAAGTTTTACACTCCAGACCCTGTACAACTAGAGGATGAATTCACAAGGTAATTCACAAGAATTATTTCTCTCTGTTCTGTATATGTATGTATATAGCAATAGTGTAAACACCAGGGGTGGTTATATTATAGGTCTATCCCTGAAATCCGTATTTCTCGTATAATCCCTCCTGTTCTAGAAACTAGTAGTGGGGCAGGGGATTTTTTTTGTGGAATTCCGCGTACCTCAAAACTGACATCTGAGATTGTCGTAGAATATCATTGTATCTGTTTGTCAACGAAACAAATAAAAAACGAAGTTTCTATAGAAATACGATTATTTTCAAAACTTATTAAACTGGTAGACATACTCTCACTGTTGTGATGTCAACCGACGTGACAAATGAGTAACGAAAAGAAAGAAAGAATGCCACATAATCGGCTTCAACAGAAGCTTAAATACTCCTTAAACAGATGACGTCATGATCCACACGAGAACGACCAACAACAAAAAACGAAAAAAAACTGGCCAATTCCGCAGACCATGACGTTACCGACGTAAGTTGAATGCATGAGATCGTCATCTTCAACGACTGACGAAGGTCGAACCTATACCCTTTTATTTTATGTTATTTAATCAATCAAAATAGAAAAAAACCCTTTTAGCATTTATTTATCTCACAAAGACCATTGTTTTGAAGACTTCCATGAATCAAAACTTATAATCCGATGAAATTTTCCTTGTAATTTAATGTAAGAATTAAGTTCTAAAATTTCATTTTGAAACCTTTGCTAAATCATGTTAACGAGAAGTTTTCATACTCAATTGTCTCTTCTACAATTTATTTTTTATTTGTCGGATTTTTATAGTTTTTAATGTTTGAAACTACGCCGAAATCCTCTAATATCGTGAGTCATGTTCACGTGATTTTAATATCTGTCTTTGATTTTCATATTTACCTGATTTAAAAATTATTCATTGTGAATCGTATTTATGTGATTTAAGAATTGTATATCGCGATTTATATTTATGTGAGTTTTAAATCCAATGTCGCTATTCGTATTCACGAATCTAAAAATCATGCATCGTGATTACGAAGTATACTGCAGATAAAGAGTATGTACGTGATTCAAGAATCTTATATTGCTATTTGTATTTTCGCATTCTTAAATCCAATATCATGATTCATATTCACGTGATTTTAAAACCCAATATTGTGGTTTGTATTTCTGCTTTCTTAAAACCCAATACAAATTCACACGATTTTAACATCCAATATTGTGATTCTTGTATAACCTTAATTAAGTTTTCTCTTAAATTAGTTACTATAAAAGTGTGATATTCTTTATTTTTAGGCAATTTAATTATAATTTTAGTTCAAAAAATTATATTAAATGTAAATACATAGTATATAAATTGATATCTTGTTATCAAGTTTTTGAACATAAAATTTTCAGGGTTTTTCACTTTGTGTCACAATCATCCCTGAAACACTTCATTTATTTAAAAAAAAGTTCCATTATTAAAAGGTCTAAATTTTAGATGACCACCAAAGAGAAAAAAAAAATCAAAGAAATAATCTTCAATTCCCAAAAAGTCATGGAAAATTAGTAAACTTATGCATCAGGTATCTAATTTCTCATCAGGTAAACTTATGCATCAGGTATCTATCTGATATTTTTCCAAAAACATTAGAATCTTTTAACGATTTTCTCTTTTTTTTTAAAAAAAAAATGAATGTTTACTTTTGTCCCTAATGGAATATGTAAGTGTTTTGTAATGTGTTTGATACATGAAAATAAGATAACTTAAAAAATATATACACTCCATGTGTTAAAAAATTTAGATAATTTGATGAAACCAAACTGGAAAAATCAGGGAATTTTTTTTTTTGTTTTCACCTTGGTTGGTAATAACTGTTAAAAAGGATTGGATTCACATTTTTACATTATAACATTTATTTTATGTATATAACTTTTACATTATAGCCAGGGTTTGTTGATTTAAATCAGCTTGATGTAAATCATGATTTAAATCCTGATTTAAATCAAATGATTTTTTTAAAAAAATCATTGATTTAAATCAACTAATTTTTTAAAAATATATATATTGATTTTAAATGTTAAAAAACAGTGTTTTATACTATTGATACTTCTATTATTTTGTTTCCTTAGTTTAAAATATATTTTATATAAATTGCTGCATTAATTAATTTTAGTTATCGTAATTACTTTCGTTCTTGGTGTTTGTTAAATTCCAATACATTTGAAATTACATTTTTAAAAATGTTTTGATTCTTGAGATGGAAAGTACAGATTAAAGTAAACATTTAATGCTGTCTTAATATAGACTTGCATAGCTGTAGAAAGTAATTAATAAACATGATTTTTTTCAAAAAATAATGCAAATTATGTTATAAAATTCCACCTTTTGAATGAAAAAGCGTGGAATTCAAATCTACATTATATTTTATTGGTAGAAAATGTATATTTCTGAAGCTTGAGATTTTATTTATATTGAAAAGAAATTACCCTAATATGTCAAAAATAGAAAAAGAAAAAAAAAGGCTGATGAATTCAGATATTTTTCTCCTGATATAGTGTCATTCTTCTCTTCAAAGTCTATTTGAAGCTGTAGAGCTATGTTAGCAGTAGGGTTATAATATGTTTACAGTATCTTTGACATTATCTAATTTTCTAAAAAGAAATTTTATGAAAAAAAATTCCAATTAGTACATAGAATTTAAAAAAAAAAAATTTATCTTAACTTATCTATTTTGATATAGAATTAAAAATAATTATTTTAATATAAAAATATATAGATTAAATATTTATTTATTTTTTGATGAATGTCTACATTTATAAACACAATCTGTTACATTTATTTTGTCATTTTAAAAATCAAGAAAAAAAGAGAAGAAATCACAATTTTAAATTAAAATTATGGTTTACTAATTGAAACTTTGTTTTAATAGTCATAGTACAGGGGTCTATCCAAGCCAAATTTAGTACCGTTTAGCGGTACCTTCACAAATTCAACTTTAGGAAAAACGGTAGAATAATTTGACAAAATACTTTTTTCTTAAAATTTTATTTTTGTGTCTCGTAAGAAACGATAAAACCATATTTTTACTATATTTGTGTTGATTTTTTAATATAATTTTTAATTTTCACAAAATAGGTACCTCTCAGAAAAACCTAGACAGACCCCTGAAGTATTCTTTAAATTTTCTATTTCATCTAGTCTTTAAATTTCAATTATGCATTTATTTCAGAATAGTTGCTATGCATTCAAAGCTATGTATTATAATGAAAAATTATTTTAGCAAGTTAGAGCTTCTAAAATATTGTTATAATATAGTTTTAATATTAATTTAATTTTGATTAAACATTTACAAAGTTTTTTTAATCATAAATAAAAGTTCTTACAGTGTATTTGAATAAAAACTGATTTAAATCAAAAAAATCCGATTTAAATAAAAAAAATCTGACTTTTTTGATTTTTTTTTAAAAAATCAAAAAAAATCACGAACCCTGATTATAACATTTAATATTATAACATTTACTATGTATAATAATCGTAAAATAACTGGCTCGGAAAAACTACTTGATTAATTAAACTCTATAATTTTTTTAAAAAGAGAGGATATGGAATAGTTTTGTTAAAAATCAAACTTTGTATATTTATGTTGAATTAATATTGAACCTTTTTTTTTTTTTTTTTTAAATATTCTCTTATTTTCTTTAGATATCTGTTTGGTTTGCAAATCAAAAAGGATTTCATAAGTGGTGCTCTGCAATGCAATGATAGCACTGCTGCAGTTTTGCTCTCTTACATTGTTCAAGGTAATCTAACTTTTATTTAAATTAAGTAACTTTTACTTTTTATTAAATTTTCTAATGTGATGCATTAATGATATCTGTTCAATTGATTGTATGGCTGTCAGCTCTTGTGGATTATACAGATTTTTTTTTGTTGCATTTATGAACCATTTTCTGCATGGATATTTAAATCTTTGAAATTCAAAATTTTGCATTTTCTTAGAAATACTTATGTACTCACAGATGTGTGTGAATATAAGTCTTGTCAGGCAATGATGTCTTGAATTTGCTCTGTGCTTCAACTTGGTTAGTGTTGCAAAATATAAGATGTGCATTATACAGTGAGATATGAGATGTACATAAAATGGTGAGGTATGAGATTTTTCTGTGCATCTGATAACTAAAAAAAAGGAAAAAAGATTTAGATTATTTGATTTTAGATTTCAGCTGATTGTGTTAAAACACTTACTTTCAATGGTGCATATTATATTCCAATAACTGTGCTATTAATACTTTGAATAAGAATTAAAAATTGATCATTGTGCACATAATAATTACATGTAACAATAAATATTTGATATTTTTTATACAACTTACTTCAACATATTAAATGAAAATAATATAATATAATAGGAAAAGGTTTATAATTTTTGAAGCTCCACAATTCATTGAACAACAAAAGTGAATACCTAATCCTTTAAATATAAATATGCTTTTAATACTGATAAGTAATGTTTTTGCATAAGGATAAATTATACAATATTAAAAAATAATAATAATTTTTTTAAAAAAAATACTAAATTTGTTTAAAAATTAACCTTTATTTTTCAAGATATTTTTTTTTTAAATGTTATAATTTCTGCATAAAAAAGACATCTATTTATAAAAAATTGCTTTTAAATATAAATATATTAGTTTAAATTGAAAATACAAAATAACTGAAAAATGTATTAACAGTTTTGAAAAGCATAACATCAGTTTCAGTTACTGACACTGGTGATGTATCACCACTATGCTAAAAGAGTCGAACATGAATGAAATAAAAGTATTCTTGAATAGTACTATAGATAAATAAACCTGTTTATGACTAACCAAGCACTTAGTCCCTAACAGCTTAACTGGTATGGCAAGGTCAAACTTCAGTTATGTACTATTGAATGAGAGGACCAATTGAACTTGATTACTGATTAATAATCCTTTGTTTAATTTAGTTGAAGAGTCAAACAATATTAATAAAACATTATACTTTTAAAAACAAATATTCTCTAGTAGATTTAATTATCAATATGTTATCAGTTCTACGTTTATTTTACCATTTAAATATTGTTCAAATAAAATTGTAACATAATTTGATTAAAAGGGTTTTGGACAGGACGGTTTAAACCGTGGATTAATCCATTCTGTCCTAAACCTTGCCAACCCTGGTTGACAGGTATGTGATTGTAATGTGTTAATTAATGTAACGAAAAAAATTAATCATGAATACATATACATTTTACAAAAAAAAAAAAAATAAAACATATTACTTTGAATAATTTTTAACTTAATGAACAGACCTTCACATTCTAGGAGTCAATCTTAATGCAGGATTGCCACAGGCAACTGAAATGTGACTATTTCCAACNAAAAATCAAGAAAAAAAGAGAAGAAATCACAATTTTAAATTAAAATTATGGTTTACTAATTTAAACTTTGTTTTAATAGCCATAGTACAGGGGTCTATCCAAGCCAAATTTACTACTGTTTAGCGGTACCTTCACAAATTCAACTTTAGGAAAAATGGTGGAATAAGTTGACAAAATACTTTTTCTTAAAATTTTATTTTTGTGTCTCATAAGAAATGATGAATCCATATTTTTACCATATTTGTGTTAATTTTTTAATATGATTTTTAATTTTCACAAATTATGTCTAAATTTTCACAAAATAGGTACCTCTCAGAAAAACCTAGACAGACCCCTGAAGTATTCTTTTAATTTTCTATTTCTTCTAATCTTTAAATTTCAATTATGCATTTATTTGAGAATGGTTGCTATGCATTCAAAGCTATATATTATAATGAAAAATTATTTTAGTAAGTTAGAGCTTCTAAAATATTATTATAATATAGTTTTAATATTAATTTAATTTTGATTAAACATTTACAAAGTTTTTTTAATCATAAATGAAAGTTCTTACAGTGTATTTGAATTTAAAAAAAATCTGATTTAAATAAAAAAAATCCGATTTAAATAAAAAAAATCTGACTTTTTTGATTCTTTTTTAAAAAAAATCACGAACCCTGATTATAACATTTAACATTATAATATTTACTATGTATAATAATCATAAAATAACTGGCTCGGAAAAACTACTTGATTAATTAAATTTATTTTAAAATGACAGGATATGGAATAGTTTTTTTTAAATCAAACTTTGTATCTTTATGTTGAATTAATATTAAACCTTTTTTTTTCTTTTTAAATATTCTCTTATTTTTTTTAGATATCTGTTTGGTTTGCAAATCAAAAAGGATTTCATAAGTGGTGCTCTACAATGCAATGATAGCACTGCTGCAGTTTTGCTCTCTTACATTGTTCAAGGTAAGCTAACTTTTACTTAAATTAAGTAACTTTTACTTTTTATTAAATTTTCTAATGTGATGCTTTAATGATATCTGTTCAATTGATTGTATGGCTGTCAGCTCTTGTGGATTATACAGATAATTTTTTTTTTTGCATTTATGAACCATTTTCTGCACAGAGACTTAAATCTTTGAAATTCAAAATTTTGCAACTTCTTAGAAATACTTATGTACTCACTGATGTGTGTGAATATAAGCCTTGTCAGACAATGACGTCTTGAATTTGCTCTGTGCTTCAACTTGGTCAGTGTTGCAAAATATAAGATGTTCATTATACAGTGAGATACGAGATGTACATAATATGGTGAGGTATGAGATTTTTCTCTGCATCTGATAACTAAAAAAAAAAAAAAAAAAAAAAAAAAAAAAAAAAAAAAAAAAGATTTAGATTATTTGATTTTAGATTTCAGCTGATTGTGTTAAAACACTTACTTTCAATGGTGCGTACTATATTCCAATAACTGTGCTATTAATACTTTGAATAAGAATTAAAAATTGAAGAGATGTAAAATCTTCTGCATTTTAAAATGTAGAAAATGTTGACAGCAGGGTTTGGGTTTTGGACGTCCTAAACTGGTTTTGGACAGGACACATGGGTTTTACTGTCTTAAACTGTCGTAAACTGGATAAAACTGTCTTAAAGTGTCCAAAACCTTGAACTTAAGTGAAAGGTAAAAATTATATACCTGTAATCATTGTGCACATAATAATTACATGCAACAATAAATATTTGATATTTTTTATACAATTTACTTTAACTTATTAAAGGAAAATAATATATTATAATAGGAAAAGGTTTATAATTTTTGAAATTCCACAGTTCATTCAACAACAAAAGTGAATACCTAATCCTTTAAATATAAATATGCTTTTAATACTGATAAATAATGTTTTTGCAAAAGGATAAATTATGCAATATTAAAAAATAATAATAATTTTTTAAAAAAAATACTAAATTTGTTTAAAAATTAACCTTTTATTTTTCCAGATACTTTTTTTTTTAAAAATGTTATAATTTCTGCATAAAAAAGACATCTATTTATAAAAAATTGCTTTTAAATATAAATATATTAGTTTAAATTGGAAATACAAAATAACTGAAAAAATGTATTAAAAGGTTTGAAAGGCATAACATTAATTTCAGTTACTGACACTGGTGATGTATCACCAGTGCTGAAAGAGTCGAACACGAGTATGCTGAAAGAGTCAAACACGAATGAAATAAAAGTATTCTTGAATAGTACTATAGATAAATAAACCTGTTTATGACTAACCAAGCACTTAGTCCCTTACAGCTTAACTTGTATGGCAAGGTCAAACTTCAGTTATGAACTATTGAGTGAGAGGACCAGTTGAACTTGATTACTGATTAATAATCCTTTGTTTAATTAAGTTGAAGAGTCAAACAATATTAATAAAACATTATACTTTTAAAAATAAATATTCTCTAGTAGATTTAATTATCAATATGTTATTAGTTCTACGTTTATTTTACCATTTAAATATTGTTCAAATAAAATTGTAACATAATTTGATTAACACTAAAACGGCCAGACCGGTCATTTTGACCGCAAAACGATTTGAAACGTGTTTACCTTTTTTTGCTTTTCACCCATTTCTTTGATTTTTTCTGACTTTTCCTAAATATTAATAAGCATCATCCACAAAAAATTTCACTCATTTATTTTGATTAGTTTTTTTTTTGAAATTTACAATATACCTAAAACCGCCAATACTGGTCAAAATGACCGGTTTTAATTATTTCTGTTACTTTCGTTTTTAAGGCATTATTAATTATACTAAAATGAAGGGGTGTGAAGAAAGAAAGATAGAGGGTGACCTTCAGTCACACCTGTTTGAAAGTAATCTGCGCATGCGTGAATTCTTGGAATGTTCGTTTGTCTCCTTCAGAAGGCGTGCATCATATTTAGTGTTATGTTATTATGTGGTTGTGATATGTTATTTCTAACTATGTGAGCAAATTTACTGGAAAGTTTTCTTTATTTTTTTATCTATATATCGTTTATTATTTATTGTTTCTCTTTCTGTAATTCAAAATGTCTTGGAGAACTGTGGGAAAGAATTTGCTAACTCAAGGAGAAATTTTGCAGATGATGCAAACTATTTCGTCAGATGATTCTGGTTCTGAAGCTAATAATTCTGATAATGAGAAAGATGAATGTAATTTTGATGATGAAAAAGACTCTTTGTATACAATTGATGTTGAAAACTGTGGCGATAAAAGTGATTATTGTCAATCAAGTTCTAATAGTGATTCTGAACCAGATGAAGAATTATTGCTTGCTCAAAGTCAGAAAAAAAATCAAGGGAAAAATAAATGCTGTTCTTTCAAACCAAGATTAAGTAAGAAAAGAGATAATTTGGATGATTCTATGTTATC